CTCCCTTCCCTCCCTCTCTTCCTTCCCTCCCTGCATCCCTCCCTTCCTTCTCTTCTTTCTTTTTTCCCTCCCTCCCTTTCCTTCCTTCCCTCCCTCCCTGCCTCCCTCCCTCCTTGCTTCCTTCCTTCCCCTTTCCTTCCCTTCCTCCCCCTTCCTTCCTTCCTTTCCTCCTTCATTCATTCTCTTCTTTCTTCCTTCCTTCCTTCCCTCCACTCCCCTCCCTCCCTCCCTCCTTCCTTCCTTCTTTCTTTCCTTCCTTCCTTCCTTCCCTCCCTCCCCTTCCTTCCTTCCTTTTTTGCTTTTCAGCACATCATTACAGAAAAGCTACAGAAGTCAAAATACAATGAACAACTGGGATTCCCAGACTGAACTGATGACATCTACAGTACAGCTCTAGCACCAAGGCTCAAGGAAACATCGTAAAAGCCGTAGAACCAGGAAGTCTGCTATGAAAATGTGTCTTCTAGCTATGACAGGGAAGCTACACCCATGAAGTCTCAACAACATGCAGCTTAAACAAGACCTGAACATTCCAACAACATATGGCATTTCAGTGTAGGTGGGGAAATCTCACGGAGGGGGGCTTGACTCAGTTAACTGCTGAGAGAGGGAGAAGGAATCTTTCTCAGGGACAAGCCCTCTAATTGGTTATCCAGTGTCAAGCACTCAATCCTAAAAGCATACATGCAGGCAACACTGAACAGATTTGGCTCAGCAAGTTTTATTTTATATGTTGATTAATGTATATGTATATGGAACAACAATGTTTAAAGAAGAGGAGGCCATGAATTTAGGATGGAAGAGGAAGTCAGACATGAGAAGAACAGGAGGGAGGGAAGAAGCAAAGTAACTATATTTCAATTAAAAATAAGAATAGACTAAAACAAAAATTGTTCCCTAAACTCTTTAGTTTAAAAAATAAGCATTTTATACTGAGGAATAGTAATAATAATAATTTAAAAATAGACAAAAGAAAAGTTAGATACATGGGATATCACACTAAGTTGAAAAGGCAATGAGGAGTTAATAATATGGAGAGAAAACTGAAACAGATAAGAATGTATAATACATAATTATTATTTACATAATTACATAATACATATAATACAATGCATAAGCAAACATAATAAAAATAAAAACTCTGCCTTTCTTCTGGGTCTGTGCGCAGTGCAAGCTGTATTTCATAACTAGGTCACTGAGGGCTGGAGCTGTATTTTCGCTGAATCTAAGCAGATTCTCCTATTATCAAATACGGTAATATAAACCCATTTCTTCCTTTCAACTGTTTCGCAGAGCTTCAATGATTAACACACCTGAAAACCTTCTTGGTTACGATCTGCAGTTGTTTACTGTGATGTTTTGACCTCTTTGGAGAGAAAAGCCTCCTGCTAAATGTTTCTCAATGTCTGAACCAGTTTTTACTATGCCGAGTGCAGAAGATCATATGTGAAATGTCACTATGCCATGGGGGAAGTTTTACTAAGACTTTTAAATGTCCTCTTTGGGAATCCAAGTGATACAAAATAATGTATTTAAGAAGATTATTTTTCTACAGTTTTCTTTGAGACTAGACTTGTGAATTCATTTTTAGTAAGTCAGGTAAGCCCCAGCCTGAGGACATAGGACTAAGAGACACCACTGAGGTTAAAGAACACATCTGGCATAGCTAATGAATATAAGCTGGATTCTTTTGACAGTTTCTCCTTGGAGACCAAAGGAAGACACCCAGAGACCATCAAGAGTGCCAGGGAGGCTGCAGATGTAAGATTCTGCCCACCAAGTAGCAAAGAGAAACGCCTAAGAGTCAAGTTCAGGGAACCTTGAAGAAGTTTCTGTGAGGGTCTAAGAATTGCTGCTAAGCCCAACATTTTGCTGCTAAGCCCAGGGTGAAATTTACTAGGGTAGTATTTTCCCTAGCAAACCTAGAAAACAATTTACAAGGGAGAGCTTGAAAAACTTGCATCTCAACTAAACCACAGGTTTCTCTGAAAGAGCTAGAAGTCCACATTTTACCTTTCTGCTCTGGTGAGTTGATGTCTGACCTTCCCCCACCACCACCACCACCACCACACACACACACACACCACCTCTCTCTGAGCTGCTTCTTTAATCTTTCCCGAGCTAAGGTAAAGGAAAATACCCTGCACTAACCTGGACCTAGGTCTGCCAGTGTCTGCTCGTGCCCCAGTAGGATGGCTCACTGTTGTTTACCTGCCGTAGGAAACTCACTGAAAGCAGAAAGTTCATAAAGTCGCGCCCAAGATTGACATGAAAATTTTTTCATCATGTATACTTCATTAAAAAAATGTAAACATGCAGGCAAACAGAACTAAATTACTGATACTAAGTGGATTTGACATTTTTGAAACAGAAATTCAAAGTGACTGAGGAAGTTCAAAGAAACAGATATGCAAGACTCAGACAACTCACAGAACCAAAAGCGCAGAGATCCAACTAAGCCTTGAAAGTATCAAGAATGGTAGCACCCTCAGGAGCCTAGGGAGTCTTCCCCTAACGTCTGCACTGTCCACACACTTTCTTTTCTCCATAGCAAAGCTCTTTATTACCAAGCCCATAAGCCAAAAATGGCTCCTCTTGCTTCTCTAGTGAATTTAGATTTTCTCTGACTTCCAAGGCTGTTTTCTATTGCAAAAATAGTTCAGGACAGAAGCAATCACATGGATAGAAAGTCTTGGAGAATTGTCTGTCACCATCTATTTACTGTTGCTCATGGAAGGTTTCTAAAATTTTCCTCTTCTTTTTTTTTATTTTACTAAGATTATTTTTAAAAAGATTTTCTAACCCAAGGTTTAATAAACACATACAAAGTAAATATGGGTGCAGTGCATGCGGCACTGAGTGAGGCAGCAAAAGGAGAATTCTGAGAAGTCTGGGAAATCTGGAATTCTGGAAATTCCAAGAAGTCGGGTACATAATTCTGTCTGGAGTTAAGAGAAGGAACCTGCATTATTTGATTAATATCAACCTTAAGGACCATCTGCAAATACTTTGATGTTAGTAGTAGGACAAAAGAAGAATTTAAGAAAAAAAACTTGGAAAAAAGAAAGAGTGCTTGTTGATGACCTAATTTAAAAAAC